AGCTTTAGTATATCCAATAAAGCTCGTGTCCTTAGAAGCTCCATTTGTATATGCTCACTGATGATATAATTACCAACGAGCAGTGGCGGATGACTTCTATGCAAAGGTGTTCATGTGAACACCCAAAAATATAAAATCAATGGGAATATATGTGCATGAACTAAATTAATAGATCATTTATTAGTATTGTAAGGAGAAAATGTGTAATTTTGAACACCCAAAATATGAATACTAGATCCGCCACTGCCAACGAGCATGATGAAATCTGTACAGGATGAATATTGATAAAAATTGTTGGACGGTTGTATGTATACAAGCATGGTGACTATGTCCGGACTAGGGAACATGACTACATGTACATGAGGTAAGCAAGCCTGAAGCCTGAGAAAGAACATGTACATGAGGAACATGGACACACGATGATAGATGGCCCTGGACACAAGATAATCGAGTCCATACACGATGATCATGAACGCGAGATGGTAGAAGACCAGAGAATATAAGGTAAACTTGGATGCCATGGTGAACTTTTCCAAGGGAGGCGTGTCCATGGAGACCTTGGACATAATAGAAGAAGTTTATCAAGGGAATACTCGACACGATGACGTCCCTGGATAAAGTATTATTACCACGGATGTCATCATGTACGAGTATTCTCTTAATTAATAGACTAATATATTTAGGAATCTGTCTAATATCTATTTAGGAATATATTGTATTTTGGCAACTCTTCTATTATAAATATATCTGTCAAGACTCCTATGGGAGTACCCCTTTCCCATTTATTTCACATTAATAAGTTTCAACTAGTGGGAGCTTATCAGAGGAATACATGGACACGGCGACCCTAGATGAAGAAGCTACATCTAAGATATCTTTTCATGATCTTCTTACTGAATAAGCGACCCTACATCAGCAAGCTATCCTGAAGGATCATGTCACTTGTTTTCAGGGAATGTCAATTCTGAGAAAGTGATCATATCGATCGTCTGAAAATTTATGTCTGATTTTATTCTATAAATTCTTTTAATTCTATGAAGAAAGGATCAAATGAATATACAAAATATACTTATCTCTCTAAAATAAGTCCGTCTAGTGTTGAGAAACACGATCATTTGTTATACGTCTTCCATTCTTACGCAGTGGCAAAAGTTCTCACATTTCTCAATAGACAACTTTTGCAATTATCATACTCCATCTATAATGTGAATTTAAGACAATTTCATAATATGCTTTTTTAAGAAGTTATAAAATAAAATATGATCAAAGTAGAGTATGTGAATAATTTGAAATTCAAATTGTTGTAAATAATAAATAGCAAATGTAGTATACGTGAATGGTTGGTTTTTAGCTTTTGTAACTGTTGGGAATGCCGGGGAAGAAGAAGCTAAAGACTACGTTGAGTCTTAATCGAATCTAAATTTAAAGAGCTAGAAAAAACATATGCATGCATTCATACGTAGGAGAGAAAATAATAAACACATGGAGTTTTTTTTCTGGTGCAGCGCATAACATACCGCTCATCACCGGTTTTCATTAAATTTATATACAAACAAACGTACGTACAATGGTGGTTACCAATTACCACCCAAAGCACTCACCCACTAAACTTATAAACTCCCCCTTTTCTCTCGGCACTCACCCACTCGCACGTACACTACATGCATGCATAACTAAGTTATTTACATGTAAATAACTTAATTCATCAACTTAACTAATTGACCCAAATTAGACTAACACTAATGCAACGGCACATACGCATATTAGTACCGCTACAACACATGCACGGTGTCACGCGACGCACACAACTTGGCATGACTCATCCCGCCGTGCACTCACGCTCTAGTCTAAAATGTATCAATGACACAAAATAAACTAAATTAAACATGACGAAATTATAAACAACAAGGTTAACTCCAACAGTAACTTCATTATCCATATAGAACATGATTAGTGCATGTTTACCGAGCCAATATCAGGCTGAAATGGTATAACCCTTGATACATATTATACATATTATGCACGCAATTCAGAAAAATACTAGAGTTGATGAAAGTCTGCATTGATATATACGTTAATGACTTGATCCATTTACTTTTTTTTTCCATATTGATCCCAACATCCAATTATTAGCGACTGACAATTTCCTCTGGTTGATCACATTACTATTCACAAATCTAAGTTTGTAAGATACTGAGTTTGAGATTGATATTATAGAAGGGAACCAAAACCTTAATTACAAAAATTAGTAGAAAATATCACTGATATGATATGCATGATCTATATGATGCGGCCTTAAATGCTTCTTATAAACAAAAAGTTATCACATTACAATAAATATGATATTTTCATAGGTCAGATATGACTACACATATATTTTCATAATGTTACCCGAAGAAAAAGATGAAATCTTTTGTGTAAACATCATTACCGCCACCATACTTATCTTTAGAAGGTGGGCGAATTCGTCCCACCTGATAGGGCGCCCCATTGTCGGCGACGCACGCTGAAACGTCGTCGTTGTTAGAGAGGCGGTGGTTGTCGTGGCGGTGATGGTTGATGGGAGGGTGGTAATACATTCCCGAAGTTTGGGGACAGTGGGATTTGAACCTGGAAACCAATCTGATTCCCAAATCTAAAAGCTCCACATACTTCCCCATTATTATATCAAATCAATAATCCCCTTACCCTTCCTAGCCTCCTTCCTCTGTCCAAGATTTCCTTGGGAAAGAGGGGTCAATTGAGGAAGAAGGGGAGACGAGCGAGAGAGAGGAAAGAAACAGTTCGGTTTTGTGGATCTTTGTACGATTGTTGATTTGATCGTTTTATGTGTATGTGTCTATGTGATGGATTGAAATGAGCCAGAAATGTGCGGTTTCTTTGGCGTGCTTGTGTGATCTTTGTATGATTATTGTCAATTACCTAATTGTCATGCGTATGTACTCCGTATATTTTATATGCATGTTTATTGTTTGGCACCAAAATGAAAATTGTTAGAGGCACCCAAGAGTAGAGTTGTACATATCAATTCCTTTAATGAAAACATGCTAATTGCTAACAATGGCGTTTAGCGCGGTTATGCTGATTGACATTATATAAATGAAGGTTTTTTTATAGATATGATTAAATTGAAGTCCAAATCGAAAAGAATGACAGCTTCTATACATGGATAGCATGTAAATTCTCATCCAATGACATGTACAATAGACGTTATTACTGCAGCCACATATGTCATTGTTGTCGTGGAACATGTCATTGTTATGTTATCACCGAAATACTACGTACCTTCGTCTCATTTTATGTGTCTCATTTTGAATTGACACAGTTATTAATATAGTAGTTGAAAAGGTAAAAGTTGTGATTGAGGTTTGAGTATAATAAAATAAAATGGTGTCGGCCACATATTTCTTTTCAAAAAAAAAGAAAGGAGACACTTATTTTGTGACAATCCAAAAAGGAAAGTAGGACAAGTAAAATTGGACGGAGGGAGCATATAGAAAGAATAGAGCAAAATTTCTTTAACACTCATTTGAACTCTTAGCTATTAAGTATTTATTATAAGTTGAAACTATTATTTGAAAAAACACTCATTTTAAATCAAAAATTGAGAAATATTTTTTAAATTGCTTCAAACACTCCCTAAATAGTAAGCGTACAATGTTCACACCAAAAATCTCATTGTTCGTGGTGAAGTAAAATATATAACACTAGTCATCTCTCATGGGTGTTACAATTTAGAATATGAGTGGTGACGAATGTAAAGAGAGTGCAATTTAGTGTTCGTTAGGAAAGAATAAAGAGCCATCCAAGTGATCCAACCATGATATCTTGATATGTGTTTGGAAGACAAACAATGGCAAGTAAAGAAATTATGCAATGCCTGCATGGCTACAATTTTTCTCTTCAGAAAATTCAACAAAAATGTAATTAAATCTAAAGTTACTTGTTTTGATTATTTATTCAATTAAGAGCGTGAAATAATTTTTTTAATAATTGTAAAAATCTTGATTAGCAAATTCTAAAATAGTTACCAAAGAGACACTCATGCATGTTTTGTGGTCTCTATATTAGGCAAGTCTTACCAAAGAGACACTAATGCATCTTGACTAATCATTATGCAAGTCTCTATAATACTTACCTCCTTCACTTAAAACTTTGTCAAAGTTGACCGGCACGGAGAATAATAAAGTAAAAACTGTGTGATTGAGGTTTGTGTGGAGGAGAGAGAAATTACAGAAACCACAAAATAATTGATTAAAAGGGAAAATGACAAAAAAATTTGGGATGTCCCAAAAAGGAAAGATGACAAAGTTTTAAGGGACGGAGGAATTACTAAACTTTTAATTTTGCATGCAGAATTCTTTAATACTTCCTTTTTCCCGTTGGAATGTTCCCGCTTTCCTTTTTTGGATATCCCAAAAAGAAGTTCTCATTTCACTAAATGGAAAGTTATCCTATATCAAACAGTGTCAAACAGTGTCAAACAGTGTCAAAACAGTAAAATTTACCTCATGATAAGTTTATTTCTTTAATATGTGTGTAGGTCAAACCGAGAACATTCCAACAGGACGGAGGGAGTATTTGAAATTAGACTAGTGTTGCTTTTACATCTGAATTAATTGGTTTTTCTGAAGAAGTCCTTTTTAACTTTTTTGTGTAGTTTTTTCTTTACTTTATTAGCACAATTTGTTTATAATTCAGCATATTCATTTAATTCATGCAGAATTTCTATAATCTCAACAAACTTAAGAAATTTCGATATTATCAAACATGCTCATTCTGTATGAAATCAAACGAGATTGTCAGGGGCGGAGCCACCCTTTGAGGTGTGGTGTCAATTGACACCTCTAAATTTTTTTCCCCCACATGCAGGTTTATAAGTTTTTTTTTTTAATTTTAAATTGACACTACAAAAAATAAAAATTCTAGGCATAAAATAGTGGGTTAAAATAGTAGATCCTGATCACCCCTGCAGATCGTAATCATTTATTCACAAGTTGCTAGCAAATAGTCAAATACCCAATTCAACCATTGAAATTAACGGATTCATTGTAGATAAGGTCTGAGGTCTGGAGTCTGAACCGAGAATTTAAGAATCCGTTTAAAATGGGTTGACATGGACCGACCCGAATCCAGATCTTCGTAATCCCTGTCGCGGCCGGCAAAGCCCTCTGGTTCAAACTTCAGAGTACAGCACAACTATGGAGCGCAATGTATGTTTCTTCTCCTCATCCACTGTCTTTCTCGGCTCACCGCTCACCCATTCGAAGAAATTCCCTGAAGAACTGAGAAATCAGACGAGTAAAAAAGTCCTCAGAATTTTCGCAGCGAAGTCTATCCCGGAGATTGCTTCACAAGAAGTACGAAAAGGCTCCAAGAAGGATCTCTCCCGGCTTCTCCGAACGGAGGCGGCTATCAAAGCTATTGAGAGTAAAGCAAACTCTAGCAAGTACAATAATCTCTGGCCGAAGGCTGTCTTGGAGGCTCTTGATGATGCTATTAAGGAAAACCATTGGGAGTCTGCGCTAAAGGTTACTCAAATATTTACTACTTTACCCCTTTGCTAATGATTTTTCTGTATACTGTTATTCGTGTTTATATTATGTGCTATTTTATGTCCATAGTAATTCATGTGCGGTACTCATTAACTAGATGCTCGATAGGATAGAAATGTATAAACTTTTTCTATTTCACTGATCTCAAGGAAGTGATCATGCTAGATGAAACCAAGACTATATCTTTGACCCTTTGAAGAACTAATGGATGTTTACAGTAACTCCTTGTATGTATTGCCAAGTAATATCTCGCAACTTGAAAGTTTTTTCTGCTAAGTAAGTTGGAATGAAGAAAGATTGCTTTTTGTCATGGCTGAATAGGAATTTAACCCCATATACTACATCTGTCCCTAAGAGAAGTTCATAGTTTTACTTGTGTGATTTTTAATGAATCAAATGTTTTGCTTTTGACTTACAAGAATGCCCTTCTATATGTTATTGAGAATAATAATGGTACTAATATGATGCCTTTTTGCTTTTGCTAAATAAACAAAAGAAAAGTTTATTTTCAGACTGACCGAAAGGAAAACATGAACTTTAGTTAGAGATGGAGTAGTTGATAAAACCTAGTTTTCTGTTCTTTAATTTCAAAGCTCACTTGTCGATTAGACTCAAACTCAAGACTACGACTACATGAAAAAATAATTTCGTATTTGTAGATTTTTGGTCTGCTCCGTAAGCAACATTGGTATGAGCCAAGATCTAGGACATATGCAAGGCTTTTTGTAATGCTTGGTAACTGCAAGCAGCCAAATCAAGCCAGCTTACTTTTTGAGATATTAAGGTCAGATGGGCTTCAACCAACAGTGGATGTTTACACCGCACTTGCAAGTGCATATGGTCTTAGTGGCTTAGTTGATGAAGCATTGCATTTGATTCATGATATGAATTCAGTCTCGGATTGCAAGCCTGATGTCTATACTTACTCAATACTCATCAAATGCTGCACAAAGTTCCATCGCTTTGATATGATTGATCAAATTTTAGGTGAAATGTCATATTTTGGAATCCAATGTAGCAATGTGACGTACAATACTATAATCGATGGGTATGGAAAAGCTAATCTTTTCGAGAAAATGGAATACTCTTTGCTAGAGATGATCAAGAGTGACACGAGCCTGCCTGATGTATTCACTTTAAATTCAGTTATTGGGTCTTATGGTAATGGTGGAAACATTGAGAAAATGGAGAAGTGGTTTGATGAGTTTCAGCTTATGGGAATAAAGCCTGATATCATGACATTTAACATACTAATTAAGGCTTATGGGAAAGCGAAGCTATATGAAAAAATGGGACTTGTGCTTGATTACATGAGGAAACGGTTCTATATTCCAACAAATGTGACTTATAATATAGTTATTGAGACATTCGGCAAAGTGGGGAATATTGATAAGATGGAAGAGTTTTTCTTCAAAATGAAGCATAAGGGAATGAAACCTAATTCAATCACATATTGCTCTCTGATTAGTGCTTATAGTAGAGCCGGATTCTTAGAAAAGGTTGACTCAATTATGAGGCAAGTAGAGAACTCAGATGTGGTTTTGGATACCACATTTTTTAATTGTGCTATCAATGCTTATGGCCAAGCTGGTGATATAGAAAGGATGGCTGAGTTGTTCTTCAAAATGAAGGTCAAACAATGCAGACCAGACAATATCACCTTTGCTACCATGATAAAGGCATACGATGCACAAGAGATGTTTGAGGCTTCTAAAGATCTACAAACTAGAATGCTCTCTGCTAGCGACTCTCTAGGTACTTTGCTTCAATTCCATGCCAATTAAACTTTTTCAGGGGTATATTTACAATTAATATTACATAGTATTATTTTTCAAAAAATAAATAGAAGATATTTATAGTAAAAAGAATTTTTATGATGCAATGATGCTAATTATAAAACTATTTATTATTTGAATGATAAGGTTACTTTTACTATCCAAAAAAATTACTAATTAAAATTAGTACAAAGTAATTATTTATTCCATATAATTTTATTTTTTAGTGTTAACATATAATATTTAACTTTATATTACTGTTGGTTGAGTCCTATGTTGTATGGATATGGGTACAATACTATGACTTTCTATTCAACTTTAAAAATCATTTAAGAGTATCCAATGTTGCAAGTATTGGAGTTTGAGATAGGCCTTTACAATTTAAGTATGGGAAATTGCCCTAAATAAGAGTAAACATGTTTTGAAATTCCAAAATAAAACTTCTATGTTTTTTATCCCGAAATATGAGTTGTTACTTTCATGATTGAAAATTAGTGTCATTAATGTCATATTAATGCTTAGTACTGTAACTATTTTGATAATAATGACTCCAAGATGACAGTAAATACTGTCACATAAGTTGGTCTCCAGCCTAAAAGTTTTGCTTGCTTCATGACCTTCAACACAATTTGCCACTGCCATTAGTAAAACTTTGCTGTAATAGCAATGTGAATATGTTTTTCAAATGTTTTACGAATTTCAAAATATTCATATAGGATATTACTTTGTTTTTGTGAACATGTGATAGTTGATACCAATTTTGCATTTTTTGAATATAGAGACAAAGTTAATTGAATCGCCGCTTGATTAGTTGGCTGTTGGCGTGTGGAGGGGTAAACCTCTTGGACTTCTTACTCTGGGAAGTTCTACGCATGTATCTTACTCTGGAAGACTGGAAGTATTGCATATATACTCAAGCATCTTACTTGATACTCCGTCTGTTCCATATAAAGGTTCTTATTTTCCTTTTCTGGACATCCCATGTATAGGTTCACATTTCTATTTTCGGAAACACTTACCACTCTTAAATGACAATTTAATCATCAAATATTAAAAATAATACATCTATAACATCATTTTTATCACCATTAACCCCGTTATATTATATACCTACCAAAATTATTTCTCAAAATATACTTAAATTACCGTATTTAATTAATGTCTAAATAACCGTGCCATTTTGCTATGAGAACCTTTTAACGGTACGAATGTAGTATTAATCTTGTACGGTGATGTGTTTTGACATGAACCGATATATGTTCCCCTAAACCCGATCCATCCTCGTGCGGCAGACTGTGGTAGATTTAAAAAATCATACTTACTCCGGATATATCATACGGATTACTCTTGTCCATTATAACTTTGTCAAGTTTGACCGACTCAAGGAATAATAAAGTATAAACAATGTGGTTGGGATTTGTATAAATGAGAAAAAAATAATAGGAATCATAAATCAATTGTTAAAAGAGGAAAATGACAAGGTTTTTGGGGGCAATCAAACAATGAAAGGTGACAAAATTACGAGAGACAGAGGAAGTATTTTTTAAAAAAAAATTATGAAGTTTATTAAACAAGCATAAATGAAAAACAAATTATACATTTCTCGATCAACTGGTTTTTACTGAACATGATGCATTGCATCAATTGGGTTTTACTAGTTAATCGACCAAATCCGTGCGAGTTGGTCGATTAACTAATAAAACTCAGATGACCGAGTCAAAATTCTTCGGTAGAAATCAGTTGACTGGGTCAAAACCCATTTTGAAGGTTGTTTGTTTGAAGTCATTTGACATATTAAAATTGTAATCTTAACTTTATAAAATATGTATTGACAAAAGTAGAACCCTAACTTTTCAATTGATAAAAACAGGACCAATTTTTATTTACGACAAATAAGTGGCTTAAATAAGATAGAAGGACCAAAATACTCGCATATATCTATCTCCCCATGAAACCTTAAAGGCCAGCGAACAGGTTTCAGAGTGCCACTTCATCCTCGTTCAACCGATGCCATCTTTATCGACTTCCACCATGTGAGGGACGCTCCTACAGGGGTGATGATGAATCCAACACCAGTGAATGTGGCTCCACCCGTGGCGAAGACAGCGACTCCACTACCAGTGAAGGCGACTCCACTACCAGTGAAGGCGACTCCACTACCAGTGAAGGCGACTCCACCATGAAGACCTCAATGTTAGAGTCAACTACAATCGACTTACATCTTCATCTTCTCTGAATTCAACAAGCATAAGGGGCGGCGTGGCTGGGGAACAAATTATGGCTATGGTTCTGCATGATTTCAAGATATTGAGGACGGATTCATGGGGTATCCGTCCAATGAAGTCAGTACCTATGCTCCAGTTTGGGGGGTAACAGACTACTGTGGTGTGGCTCCAAAGTTGTGTCATTGGAGGCATGGTCGATTGTTGATTTGAGCGGTATAATTGGGCGATCAAATGATGTCCCAAGGCTTCACTGGGAGTGTCACGGGCTTTTGGGCTGAGGCAGTAGTCTCATTAAGTCACTGTGCAGTGCTATCACCGGGCGAGCCACGCGTCTAGTACACTGGATCACAGAAGTCGCTATCAATTGACCATCACTTTTAGATGGTCAACCAAAAATGGAGATAAATAAAATTCAAAACCAATCATTATGTGGGAACTTACTTTTGTTGATGTGATTTCTGATATAGTTTGTGTGATGAATCTCACATTCATGTATACTAGGTACTCTCCATTAATTTAATTTACCTATTTTGTTTGCGCTATATAGTTATTTCTATCTTAACTTAATGTAGCCTACTTTTATTGGCTATGTAGTCATTTCATTCATAATAATTACTTCAGGCGTTTAAATTTATTTAGACGCAAGTTTCCTCTTTAATTGTTGAGATGTATGACTCTGCAAATCGTTATTTATGAAAGCGGTCTGTGCCTAACATGGTATCTTTAATTTGGAGGTTCACGGGGTTCTCTGGGATCTCTAATCGCAATAGGCAAACAGAGTCGTGGCTGTTGCCTCGAGGGTTAGCGGGTCGCTATAATTTGTCATGCCTTGTAATGGAGGATTTTAATGACATCATGTTCAATAACCAGAAGAGGGGTGGATTGCAACAACCTCGGTTGGCTGTAGTCCAGTTTTAGTGAAACTGTGTGGAGTTGGCTCAAAAAACATCTCTTTGGAAAAAAAACATCATGGGTCAAAAAACATCTAATCTTTGAAGATTAGAGGGGATGTTGGAGAGCCACAACATCATGGGTCAAAGAGAACTTGGACCGGATACTGACTAATGATGATTGGGAAAATTGTGTTGGGGTGGGGGCTGAAGTTGTGTCGCTAGAAGGGATTGCTAGTGACCATCTTATGCTTCTGATCCGGGTCCAAGCTCCGGGATATGCGCAACACAGGCATTTCACGAAGTTTGAGAACATCTAGATATGTGAGGAGGACTGCTGGGAGATCATACACAAAAGTTTGGAATTGCATAAAGGATGTGAAATTTGGCAACATATTGCTAATTGTAAAGACTTGGATAAGTGGGGAAACAATTGGTGTGTTGGTTTTAAATTCCCGTATCGATGTGAGCAGGAGCCATTTACATGAACTATGCAGACAAAATATGATGTCTATTGATGCTGAGTTTTTCTGGATAAAAAAATACTCCGTATAATGCTATGATTGCTTGAATAACATCATATATTTTGGAGACAGCAAAAACAATTTGATTGAGACAAGGTGACCAGTTATCTCTTAGTAAGCCGTACGACATAGTAGAGTGACATTTTCTAGAAGTTGTTATGGAAACGCGAGTGTATTTCTTCTGTTTCATATTACATACCTTTTGATAATATGTTACTAGGACCTATTATATCGAAACGCGAGTTAAGACATGGCGACCCTTTATTTTCTTATTTGTTCATATTGGTGGCTCAGGGATTAAGTGCATTGATTAGGAAAATAGAAGTGGGGCAATATTCATGGGGTAGCGGGTAGCCGTTGCCCAACATGCTCTCAGGGTCTCTCATTTATTTTTTGGCGATCAAAGCGAGGAATATGTGGCGGTTAAAAATTTTCATATGTATTATGAGTAAAGTTTGAGGCAAGTTATCAACATTGATAAGAGGTGTTATGTTCAATGCAAATGTGGGGGCGAGTTCTTGGGATGAGCTATGTGCCATATTATGTGTGGATTAGGAGCATAGAAATAAGATGCACTCCCTCCGTCCCTAATAACTTTGCCAAGTTTGACCGCACGGGGATTAATAAAGTAAAAACTGTGTGGTTGAGTTTTGTGCAGAGGAGAGAGAATTAACTAGAACCACAAATTCTTTACTTAAAAGGGAAATTGGCAAAGTTAATGGGACATCCAAAAAAAAAAGTTGGCAAAGTTATAAGGGACAAAGAGAGTATTTGGAGCTACCGGTGTTGGTTGGTGGGAAAAGGAAGGCGATTTTGCTTTACCTAAATGAATGAGTGTTGAGAATACTACAAAGCTGGATTCTGGAAAGTCAATTTCTCTCACGTTGGTCGTCATTTTACTGAAGAAGATTATTGAAACAATGCACACGTATCTGATGAATGTTCTTTTACTAGCAGATGATATGTGTTGTGAGATTGAAAGAATTGGTTATTGGTGGCGGATAATGATTTTGATAGAATATGTATGGGATGGAGTCCTGAAGAAGTTTGCGGTCCAAGTGTCCACGGGTGGAGAAAAATACAGAATCTCCTTAATACCATACTTACCATATCGGAAAGATACCAAACTTTAAGAGAATGCGTTGTTATCTTCAAATTTTAAGAGATACCAATTTTTGCATTTTAAAATATTATTTTTATATTAAACTATCAAGGACTCATTTAATAAAGTGATAACCCACGATTACCCCCGACTATCCCCGTTATCCATTGAGGCGGTTATGATTTGAATTAAAATTATCTCTTGGATAATGGGCGGTTACGGGGCGGATCAGAGGAATTACCCAGCGGGGCGGATACGGTTAATCGGTTATCCCCGTTATCCGTTGCCATCTCTACGTTTAGAGGCAACCTCTGCCGTAGAGGCTATGATATGATCCTCCTTCCTATCAGCTACTCATGGACCCGGTCCGGTCCGACCAGACCGGCCCGGTTGACCGGTTATGTGACACTCCAAAGTTTTAAATAAAATAAATAAATAAATAAATAAATAAATAAATAAATAAATAAATAAATAAATAAATAAATAAATAAATAAATAAATAAATAAATAAATAAATAAATAAATAAATAAATAAATAAATAAATAAATAAATAAATAAATAAATAAATAAATAAATAAATAAATAAATAAATAAATAAATAAATAAATAAATAAATAAATAAATAAATAAATAAATAAATAAATAAATAAAATAATGAATGACAAAAATAAGAAGTGTGATAAAAGTGGAGTTTTTAAAAGTTAAACAAAAATAAATCATAACAAATTTCAAGGATCCGATGTTGGTTAGAAATATGAGTAACAATGTATGTACACACTGGAGGACTTGGGGGTCCTAGGGGGGCAAGTGCCCCCGCTTCCGACCCTGAACTTTAGTATAAGTACTTAGGATAAAAATAGTGCCCCATCTATCCAGATAAAAAAACTCTGTATAACTATTAAATGAGGTAATAATTCTTTCACAAAGTATATATAAATTGTTATAAGACATTTATGACTATGAAATAATTATGATGGACTAATTGCTTACGGTTAGACACAATCATAATGGTAAAAGTTAAATTTTGATTGTTTATAATATGAAAATTATAAACAGTGCAATGATGATTCAGTCGTAATCCATGACATGTCTTTCTTTCAAAAAAATGAATATTATTATTCGGAATTGTTTTAATAGGTTGAAGCTAGACCTATAAATCATACATTCCTTAAAACCAACATTGAATAAACTATTTCCTTTTAAAAGAATTATCTGCACGAGACAAAATAGACCATTTTCACACTCAACGTGACCCATCTCTACGTTTAGAGGCAACCTCTGCCGTAGAGGCTGGGGAGGGGGGGCCGGAGGCCGGGGCGGGGGCGGGGAGGGGGAGGAGGAGGAGGAGGTTTATTGTCGCTAAGCTTCATGATATAAAAGTGTCATAAATTAGTGACACTTTCTCTGTGACACTAAATTTAGTGTCATAATTCCCGACCTTCTATAACACTTTTCTAGTGTCAGAAAAACTTTTTGTGACACTTATTTAGTGTCACTATAGACCATTTTTCTAGTAATGGAAGCAAAGTCTATAGAGACGCTTGTTTGCTACCACGATTGCTAGCAACTCAAGAACTTAGTATCACTCATTCACCCCACGGCCCACCCAACACTTTATGGAAGAAACAACAACCGACGGTGGCGGAGATTCCGATTGATTATTATGTTATATTATTATTTATTAGAAAATGTATTTCATATTATATTTTTTTCTCAATTCTCAATTGTAGTTCATATTTCAAATAAATGCACTTTGAATTTTTTTTTATATGCAGCACTTCTAGAATTAATTAGGAAACAAGCAAAAAACAAAATGACCCGGAACCGGAACCGATCAACACCCAGAACCGGTACCGGTCAACACCGAGACCGGTTACGGGCTACACTCTCAAAAATAAAGGCCCACCCGGGCCTACGCCCGAACCGGAACCGGACAGGGTCCAGTCCATGACTACCATCACCGCCTCGACCTCCTCCCTCAATTGCCGTCACCCGCAAACTTGGACTCTTCTTTTACACTTTTGCAAAGTATTATTTCATGTAACTTTTATCTATAAATTCATGTAATTTGTATTACATACGAGTATATAGTAATAAGAATTTGTCAAAAAAATCTACATAGTCGTTTTTATTTCATTTTCATTAAAAAAAGAATTACATATTTTCCCTTCAGATATAGGCATATAGCTAGAAGCCTAATAATTATAACGCGGGGTGCAAAAATGTTGTGTGCCCAATAATTTTATAGATTGATGTCAGTATTCAGCTTATGTTTTACAATTTTATAGACTATGATATACGGAGTATTTTGGTATAATAAATTATATGAATAATAATACAAAACATCTTTTCGTATGTACCAAAAAGTTAGAAAACGTGTTACTGGGAACCGCAACAATGTAAATAGTTTTTTAGTTTGTTCATAATTTAGACTTTTGAGCCGTTTGCCTCGCAAAAAAATAATAATAATAATTTAGAGCCGTTTAGTGGTCTTTTTTTTCTGGTTCAATCCACACTAGGTGGGGAAGGTGTCGGAGAACACCTCCCTAATTTATTAAAATAAAGATTTGGGTACAAGAAATTTGAGGTTACATTTGAAACCGAAAGAACAAGACAAATTAGAGAAATGGAAAAAATAAAAACTTCATCAGTTGAAATTTTTTGACGGGATCCCCAGTGAAGCAGCAATTGATGTGTTATATTTGTTGTGAAATCCGGTTGCCCTCTTGAGATAAGGCATGTATGTTGTTTCCTCTGGACGAGATAACTTGAAACGCTGTAGAGCTGCTGCCAATTTTTGCGGTGAGTCAAACCTCTCATCTGCTCGGTAGAGAAAGTATTCTGTTTCGTTCTGAGGTTTTTTTGAATGGCTACGAGTGATCATGGGATGAGATGTGTATCCCACCCCTCGTTGTATAGTTGAACTTCTTATGTGGCTTCGTTTGGTGGGATTTTTTAGAATGAGGTTTTGCTTCTTCTTCGTTATACCTGTGTAAATTCTTTAAGGTTTTCGTCATCGATTG